AAAGAGCTACACGGGTGCGTCTTTATAAAGACGACGGATCGTCCTTATAAGGATGCCGTTTCACCCGTGCGTTTCTGGGTGCGGTCATTACCTGGCGTCGCTGCCTCACGTGTCTGGGCTTGAAGCACACTGAGGTGGCATTCGTGGATGAGTCATGTTCCCATTGCGGGAAGATGACCATTTCGGAGCTGCGGAGTAGGCTTCGCTACCTTCAGGGGGCGGAGTTCCGTTGCCTCTGCCGCGATCCAGTGCTCGTTCTGGCGGCGGCCAGATGAGGACTACTTCCAGCAGTAGCGCAGGCGGTCTGAGGGTTACAGTGGTGGCAAACCCCTCAGGGAACCAACCCTCTGGGGCCCACCACTCCTCCAGTGCTCCTCAACCAGCAGAGCCGCCGAAGGAATGCCCACCGGGGGGGATCGCCGCATACCCCTTCTCTGCACCATCTCCTCTCCAGAGAGCTCTCCCTCCGATGCAGCAATCAACATCCGAAATTGCTCTCTGGGCAAGTTAACGCTTATACGGCTTGCGGGGCAGCTGCTTCCGCCTTACACGCTATGGCGTTACTGCAGGTGCACCAGGCCAAGGCACTGAAGGACCTGCACGAGGTAGGTCACGATCCGGAAGTTATGAAAGAGCTCCGAACCGCCACTGACCTCGCGCTCCAAGCGACGAAGGTCACCGCGGGTTCTCTGGGTCATGCAATGTCCATGCTTGTGGTCTAGGAGCGCCATCTATGGCTGTGTCTGGCCGACATGAGGGACGCCGACAAGGTTCGGTTCCTTAATGCCCCTGTGTCCCAGACCGGCCTCTTCGGTGACGCGGTGGAGAGCTTTGCCCAGCAGTTCTGGCTGCACAGAAGCAGACTGAGGCGATTCGACACATCCTGCCCCGGCGGGCAGCTGCTGCCTCCAGGTCGGCGAGGGTGGCCCCCTGTGTCCGCAGCAGCCTCCACCCAAGCAGCGCTGTGGAGCCGGGTGTAGGCAGGCCGACCAACCTGTCCAGGCCCCCGCCAAACCTGGCGGCAAGCGGAAGAGCAAGCGGCCCTGAGACGGGTGACCCAGAGATGGAGGGATCTGCTTTTTGGGAGATGGTGAACGCACCACTCCCTCCCCCGGAGGAGGGCCGGGTGGAGAATATTTTGTTTTGTTTGAGGCCATACCCTAATTCTCGACAAAAGAGCAGTTTTCACTATCTCTGGGTCTCAAGAGGGCACAGAGAGTTGCGGACAGTTCAACCCCAGACCACACTCATCCTCCTCTGTCGCCAGCAGGCATCAGTGGGCGGTTCGAGAGCGTACTCACGCACCCTCTGCCAAACTGTGGAACCAGGTAAGTGCTGCACCGCACACTCAGACCCCTCTTCGGTCTGCTCACAAGCCGTCCGAGTTGGGTCCCTGCGATCCACCTCGCTACCCCACCGCGAGTACGGCGGTGGTTCCGTTGGTCCCGCTTGCACGGTATCTGGGTGCCTGGCTAGCGCTACCCAGCCAGTCTCACTGGCTTCTGCGGACCATCAGCCTCGGCGATGCCATTCAGCTCGCCCTCCCCCGAAGTGGAACAGGTACGTTTTCCCAGTGTTATCCAATCTCACTGAGTGGGTAGTGCTATGACAACAGTGACTGGTCTTCTTGTTGCGAGCCCCGGCCTACACCACAAAGGGGCTCAGGTGACTCGCACAGGACACTGGAAGAGGTAGCATCCATGGCGCTTTGGTAGGGATCCCAATTCATCAGTCACTGACGTGACTCGGAGTGACCAACTGAAAGGGAACGTCTCAACCCTTTCAGTTACGTATGTAACCAAACCTCTCGGTTACGTATGTAACCCTTGTGCCCTGAAGGAGGGAACGGAGACGTCACGTTCCGTCGCCACGGCTGCTGTACCACCGCTGAGGAGCCGAGCCGGTCATCCGGCTCGAGGTGGAACTCAGGGAAAACCTGGTATGCATTGCACCGGCTGCCTTTTTATGCTCACGTTGTGATCAGCGGCAGCTGGATGCAATAATTGCATGCCAATATGCATTGGCTCGTTTAGTTACACTCGAAGTAGATTGGTCTCTCGAAGCGAGAGCCCAAATTTGTCGGTCACCAACGTGACGTCTCCGTTCCCTCCTTCAAGGAATGAGGGTTACATACGTAAACGAGATGTTTGGTGTTGCAGAAACTGCACACTTTACTTCTAAGAAAATGAGAAAAGGAAGTTGAGAAGATCCACAAAGGTTTTCAAAAAGTACTGTATATGCTTATCTGTACACACACACACACACATATGCATAAACATGTAAATATCATACCGTAGCGTTTCGAATAGCTGTGAGAATGTCTAGCTCGGTGAGCCCTCCAAGTGGGTCAATAGACTGCAGGGTTCTTCCAAACGTCTCGTGGAATATGTAACAGATACGAGCTCCTCCACACCTGCAATTAACAAATTCACACACAAACCACGAACATTTAAAATCATGCAGCTCTTTTGGGATTCACAGGCACGTTGGCACACAGGCCTGGAGTCGGACCCAACCATCCAGCCAGAAAACGTCAATATGAGGCACTTATTTAATCGATAGCTGGTGTGGACTTATATGAGAGCCAGATATGAGAGATGAACAGCATTTCATCCAACAGTGAACAGGGTGTAAATAAGGAACTGGACAGACTCACGGATTATTTGCCTGTCAGATTCAGCCAAGCAGACAAAGTAAACATGGTGTGCTTGATATCTGTCATGAGTTTCAGTGCGAAAATGACAGACTGAGACGCTGCCGAAGTCACAGAAAAAAAGATTTAACAGGAATGTAACCTTGGTAACGACAGTATGTCAAACTCAATAGCATGGTGTAAGGCGGCAACCTTTAGTAAGTGGCTCCACAAATAACCGACTGTCTGATGATCATTGCGCTCATAAATGGCAAGAGCTCTCTCAGATCACAAGCTCAAGCCTAACTGGTTGGCTTTACTAAACTTTTCAATGCGATTCCTGTTTTTCAGTTCCCAAGTTTAAAGGGACAGTTTACCCAAATACGTAAATTCTGCCATTGTTTACTCATCCTCCACTTGTTCCAAACCTGTATGACTTTTTCTTTTGCTGAACACAAAAGAAAGAGTTTTTGAAGAATGTTGGTAACCAAATAGTTGACGGCAGCCATTGACTTCCACTGTATGGAAAAAAATACCTTGCAAATCAATGGCTACCATCAACCGTTTGGTGGAGGGTGAGTAAAAGATGATCATTTTAATTTTGGGGGAATAAAGTGATAATAAAGACTTGCGTTATACTATTAAGAC